ACCAGTCTACACTCCCACCAACAGTGCAGGAGAGTTCCTTTTCCACACAGCCTCTCCAGGATTTGTTGTTGGTAGTTTTCTTCATCCTTGCCATTTTTTCTGGAGCGAGATGGACTCTCAGTGTGGTTTTAATTTGCATTTCTCTAATGACCAATGATGCTGAGCATTTCTTCATGTCTGTATTTGCCATGTGTATTTCTTCATCTGAGAAGTGTGTATTCATCTCAGATGCCCATTTTTGGATTGGGCCTTTGTATTTTGGGGGTCTCTTATGCTCTAGACAGAAATCCTTTGTTTGAGGGACAGTTGACTAAGATTTTTTTATCATTCAAGAGTTCTTTTTTACTTCGAGATTTCTTTTGACATGCAAAAACCTTTTAATAAGACGAGATCTCAGTTATTGATTCTGGGAAGTACTTCCCATGCTGTTTGATTTTTGTTCATGAATTCTCTTCACTACCTTCAAGATTTCTACCTAGTCTGTCTTTTAGCAGATTTAGTGCTTGTTTTAATATTTAGATCTTTGATCCATTTTGACTGTAGTTTAGTACATGGTGATAGGTAAGGGTCTAGTTTTAGTTTACAGCATACGGAGAGCCAGTTTTTCTAGCATCAGTTATTAATGAGGCTGTCTTTGTTCCACTGAACGTGTTTAGTCCACTTGTCAAAGGTAAGGTGGCTGATTGTGTTTGTTGTTGTAGATGTATCTTCTAATCTATTCCGTTGATCTTCAGGTCTATTTTTATTGAAGTACCATGCTGACTTTATGATAGCAGCTTTGTAATGTAACTTCAAGTCAGGGACTGTGACTCCTTCTGCCTTGCCTTTGTTACCCATAATTACCTTTGCTATTCTAGGTCTTTTCTGGTTCTACATGAATTTTAAGAATGATTTCTGTAGACCTGTGAGATGTGCTAGTAACATTTTGATTGGGATTGCATTAAATCTGTTTAACAATTTTGGGAGAACGGCCATTTTTACAGTGTTTGTTCTAGGTACCCATGAACAAGGAATGTCTTTCCAGTTTCTCAGATCCTTTTCAATTTCTTTTATCAGGGTATTATACTTTTCCCTGAGTAAGTACTTTTCTTCTTTTCTTAGGTTGATTGCTAAGTATTTCATTTGTTTGGATGTTACCGTGAAGGAGTGGCTTCTTTTATTTCTCTCTCAGTGAGTTTATTGTTTGTGTATAGGAATGCTATTGATTTTGCATCTAGCTACATGACCGTATTTAGTTATTATAGCGAGGAGTCTTGCAATGGAGTTTTGGGGATCTTTATGGAGAGTATCATGTCGTCTGAAAGGAATGATGATTTAACTCCTTCTTTTCCTATCCTTCCTCTTTTTGTTTCTCTCTCTTGTCTAATTGCTCTGGGTAGTATTTCTAGCACTCTATTGAATAGGAGGAGTGATAGTGGACATCGTTGTCTTGTTCCTGATTTTAGAGTAAAAGCTTTCAGGTTTTGGCCATTTAATATGATGGTGGCTGTTGGTTTGTCATAGATGGCTTTTATCATCTGGAGGTAAAGACCATCCATTTTGATTTTTGTGTGGTTCTTATCATGAATGAGTGTTGGACCTTATCAAAAGCTTTTTCTGCATCTATAGAAATGATCAAGTGATTCTTAGTTTTGGGTCTATTACTACAGTTGGTTACATTTATTGATTTGCATATGTCAAACCACCCCTGTGTTCCTTGGATGAGCCCCACTTGGTTGTGGTATATAATCTTCTTGATGATTTGCTGCCTTTTGTTTGCCAGTATTTTATTGAGAATTTTTGCATCTGTGTTCATGAAGGAGATTGGTGTGAAGTTCTCTTTCGTGGATGGGTCTCTGTCTGGTTTTGGTACTAGAGTAATACTTGCTTCCATGAATGAGTTAGGGAGAATTGCTTGTTTCTGAAGCACCTAGTTCCTGCTAAGCTATCTTGTGGGCAAGGTGATGTGAGGGATGGTGGGGAGGAACTGCTTCTGTCTGCAGGGAGTTTATCAACCAAAATGGGATGAGGAGATCAGATCACCCTGCCAGGGGAGTCACAGAGAAGTCTGTAGAATGAAAATCTACCGAAAACCCACAAAGGAAGGATCTAGTTCTAGTGGGTTGCTTCATGAAGGAGGGACCCCAGATGTTGATTGATTTGGCAGGGAGATGGCCCTGAAGAGGAGCAGTGTCTCAAGTGGCCGGAGCAAGGCACAAGGGTCTACGGGGGAGTGGCTGCAGGAGCCAGCACTAGGGGTCCTGGGAGGATCATGCACAGTGAGCTGGACTCAGGTCTGGTGCAGGAAGAGGGCCATGGCGCAACAAGGCCTCCCCCAAGATGACAATCTATTCCAGCAGAGTCACAGGTATCAGAAAGCATTCCTGTCAGTCACAGGGGACAGCTGAAGTAGGTAGGAGCAGAGTGACAGTGAGGGAGCTGCTTATTCCAAGTGTAAGTGGTGAGGGCAACGTGAAAGCAAGTAAGAGACCAGATAGGTTGCCGGGGGAAGCAAAAATGCCAGATTCTGGATCATAAAAGGGCAGAGGACAGGAAGCCATCCCAGAGGGCAGTAAGGGAGGACAGAAGGAGGGCACAGTGTGGGCGAGGTGACATCCTTGTTTGTGCTTTGGAGGATGGCTCACCCTCTGGATCAGCTGTTCCCCCTCCAGGTCAGCTGCTCCCCAAGAGTCACAGGAGGCATAGATGGGGTTGCCTGGTCATTACCATGACAACTGCACACAGCGGGGATGGCCAAGTTCAGATTATTTTCTACTAATTCATTCCTGTTGCATTTGATAGAAGGGTAGGACGTGAGAAATTGTTTACTAACCAAAAGAGAGCTAGACCGGCCTGCCCCTGGTTTGAGAGGCATAGCCCCAACAAGGATGTGGTCTGGAGCTCAGGGACATCAGGAGCAAGGTTCTACACTGTGCCTAGGACAGGGCAGATTCTGGGCACGACAGGGTCGAATCAGAGGCGGCACAGACCAAATTCTAGGAAGAAGGACCAGACAAGAGGACTGGGTAGGAGATGCTCTGACCCGCCAGAAGCTCATTGTCCACGTGCAGCCTGAAGGATGTCCCTGACAAGCTCATTCTGATGGTTTTGGGAAGCCTACGCAAGATTTTCTCCAGACTATGTGGAGGTACCGTGACACACACACGCCCCACACTACCCGACATGATCCTCCCATGCCTGATGCCAGTGATAGTAACCCCCGTGCCTACAAAGGAAATAATTCAGGTGCATCAGCATCCGATGGCCACACAGGCCATAAGAGATCTCGTGTTGGTCAGAGCTGCAGTTCTCAGTGATCTCAAACCTCTGAGGCTCGAACAGGTTAGACCAGAAGAAATACATTGTGGTGACAGAGCTGAGCCCACCAGACCCAGGCCTGTGGTCGGCTGGGGTGGCAGGGAGGGGGCTGCAACAGTCAGGCGCTCTTCTCAGGTCACATCCCCAGGCAGGGCCCTGGCCCCCACCATCCAAGTGGCAGAGCATAGCAGATGTGGACGCAGGTAAGCACATGGATCCAGATGGGGAGGGGCTGGCTTCTGGGGAGCAGGGTCTGGGATGCCTGGCCTCGGAGGCTGCCAGGGGCTCTGCTCCCTGAGTCTCTGCAGAAAAGGGGCAGAAAACTCCTGCTCCACTGTGGTGTGCCAGGCCCCTGCCATCTCCCACATCTACTGCAAGTACTGAACAAACAGAGGTTAGTGCCTCTAGAGAGCACAGAAGGAAGTTATTGTTTCCATTATAAGAGGAATATACTTTCATGGGATGCACTCTGAAACCAAGTAGAGTGTGAATTATGAAAGAACGCACCCTCCTATCCGCACTTCCCACGGCTCAGACACCTGAGTGTCTGCAGTGTCTTCTCCTGGCCTTGTTTCCAGGCTTCTTTCTTCTGATTCCAGGTCATGGTGCTGGCTGGTACAGGTATGGCAGGATGACATGGTCCCTGGGACAGTCTCCATGCTCCTGAAAATTCTTTGCCAATCCTGATACCTGCCTGTGGTTGAGGAGGGAGGTTGTTCCCTTGGTGCCTCTCAGTTGGTAAGGGCAGATCTGGGGCTCTATCTAGACACCCCTGTAGGAGCCAATTTGAGCAGCTCCGATTGAATGCAGAACAATTGCTTCAGCATTAGTTCAACTGAGCCTTGTTGCCATGCCCTGATATGTACAGAGTTGGCTATAGTATGTCCATCACCCTTCAACTGCCTCTAAGAAATGCAAATAAGGGCAGCCAAGATACTGACATGTAATCCTTAAGGCCAAGTGACATTTTCCTCACACTGGGTTCCCTTGAAACAGTTGAACACAGTGGGATGGCAGAACCACTGCAGTCAGCTCCAGCAATGTCCACTGGGTATGAGCCTCTAAATAAAAGTCCGTGACCTCCCAGGGTAAAAAAGTTTACATATCAGAGACCAAAGCAACGGCCTCCTCAAAATGTTCAAATGCTACCCTGACTGGGTTATGCAGACTGGTCCTTTTGCATATCATTCTCCTCGCATATTGCAAAGATGCTTTTCTCCCCACCTGGATAGCCAGCTCAAAGTACTCATGTAAAACAAAATTACTCATGTAGTTCCTGCCATCCTCACTGTCAGTCATCCTTGGACCACTGCTTTCTTCATGAGATAATACACTGTGGGAGAGACCTTCCATCAAGGCCTTTGTCTGTGTATCCTCACTTGGATCAGACTTGGGATTCCTTGGCTGTCCATAACTTAGACTAGGGCTTAGTGTCTTTACTCTCACCAAGAGTTGCATTGGAGGTGGTAGATGGGTGTTAACTTACTGAGATTCCAATTAGGTTTCAGTGGAACTAAAATATATCTTTCTGGATTGTGAGGAGGACTACAAAAGGAATTACAATATTTGGATTCTAAAATATAAAATTTGGATTACAGCATACAGCATTTGGATTATAATATATATTTGGATTGCAATATAGGTCCTCTTTTTCTTCATCCTCATGAGCCCTGTCCAATGCCTGCACCCTACTAAGTGCAGTAATCCAGGAAGCAAGGGAGACTGGCAGCTCCATGGCTCCACCATGCCCAGCCATGTCCCCTTCTGTGTGGAGGCATGAGAGAACGCAGGTGGAACAGATGGGCAGCTTACAGGACACACAGGTACAGGCTAGAGGAAGGGGCTGCTGGCTCACACAATCTGAAGGTTTTCCACATGCAGGCCAGGAGGGAGCACCCGCTGTGTGGAGCAGGTCAAGCACCCATGCTTCCGTTGGTCCAACAATGCTAACAGTGAGCCCCAAGGCCCCCAGACAAGCTGAGCTCCAGACGTGTGCCACTGGCAGATGGTAAGGAGCAAACAGCAGTGTGCATGGGAGGGAAAGAGGACATTTTAAACAAAGTGACCAAGGAGGCCCTGGCAGGAAGATGACATTGGGAGACACCCGGGTGGGAGAGGTTCAGTCACCAGAGACAAGGTGCCAGGTGGTACAACTCAGGTAGTAGTAGCCCAGAAGGTCAGGGCCATGGGACTGAGTGTTGTGACAGTAGAAGAATCCAGGAGAGTGAGGGGTCCAAAGGCAGCATGGCCAAGAGAGCTTGCAGGGGAAGCAGGAGTGGGGGCACCAAGGTACAAGGCATGGGAGGGACCGGCTGTGCCCCAGGCTTCACACATGCTCTGACCGCAGGTGGGGAGGGCCAGGGGAGCAGGGGAGGAGGGTCACCCCAGAGACCAAGGCTGAGTTTCAGCTGGGGATATTGGGGAGGGGCTCCTTTGTTGAAGAGTGGTAGAGGATTCAGAGATGCCCTATGGAGTTAGGCCTGAGAAGACAGAAGGATGACAATGGGGTTGTCATTCAAGGATGACAGTGGCAGCTGGGGCTGAGTGTGGTATGTTTGTGCATGGTGCTTGTCAGCCAAACACTGGGGGCTTGTGGCGGGGCCAGAAGAAAGCATCTCAGCCAGGGCATGAGGGCTGGGATAGGTGATGGTGGGGCAAAACTGCACTGACAGACGAGAAGGGCCCGGGGACACCCGTGCTACTCAGAGGGATAAGGAGACACCAAAAATTATAAAGGTCGGGTGACCTTGGGGGGAACAATCCAGGCCCCAGCTGGGTGCTTTCAGGATCTGAAGCTCTGCAGGGCTTGGGAGCAGCTCTCCATCTAATTTTCCTCTCACCTCGCAGGCTCTGTTAGCTGAGATCTGTGCTCCACCCTCTCTGCTTCACCTGCAACCTCCTCCAACCCTCAGGACAGACAGCCTCAGAGGTTCCAGGGTATTCAGAGCCGCAGGGGCAAGGTGAGGCTTGATGGAGGTGGATGGCTGTCCTGACTGGTCTGGTGAGATGGGCTGGAGCTGTCCCCAGATGCAGGAGTTCTTTGTAGTTTTCTCTCCTGCACTCCTCCACATCCATCTCCGAGTGGGCTGCCTCAGGCTCTGTGTTTTTATTAAACCCCTTCAAAGTCTTGGAAAACAAGACAACAGTGCTCCTCAATCACCAGTTTTTCTACAAATTGTAGCCTCTTCATGTCTGTGGTTCAAAAAATGTGGATGCAACTCTAACCAGACTGTAAATATTTGGGGAGAAAGTGTGCCTGAACTGACCACGACCAAATTTCTTTTCCTTTTTATCCCCCTAAAATGTGGAATAACAACTACTTCCCTAGCACTTGCATTGGTTCAGGCATTATAATAATCTAGTGAGGAGTGAAAGTGTATGGGGGCAGCACACAATGCATCATTCTGTATAAGGGAAGAGAGCATCTGTAGTCGGATAGTTTTGTCAGGATGGATGTGTGTGTACTGGAAGCAATCCTCCATGGACATTAACAGAGAAATACAGAAAAACTTTGAAGCAGGGGTGGAGAGGTAGTTCACGAGTTGAGCACTTGCCAACAGTGCTCAAGGCCCTAAATTTGATCCCCAGTCCTGACAATGTCAAGTGGAAAAAACCCCAAACAAACAGGGCATGGTGGCATACACCTGTGGCACTTAGGGAGGCTGAATAATTAGCTTTCCCACCTCTGTGTGTTATGGTTGATACACTGTGTCAGTTTAAGAAGTTTAGAAGAAGGTTACCTAACAGACTCTGCAGGGAGCCAGCATATTTGTAAATATTCTGAGCCTGTGTAAGAGCAGAGCATGGAGAGGGTGTGAGCCCTACACCAACCTACAGTGGGGGTGGTCTGTGTGCAGTATAGGGGAGGAAAAGAGTCTTGTTTCCTGGCTTTTTACTCTGGCTGCTTTAACTGACTGCTGCCTGGAAGCATACCCCTGGTGCCCTGCTCCCCTCCTTCCCCTGGAGTTAGCTGATTATGGACTGAAACCTCCACAAATAGATAAATAAACCTTTCTTTCCTTCATTTCAGGGTGTTGGGTGTTTTGTCCCAGCAACAAGAAAAAAGTAACCAAGACACTGAGACACAGTACTAACCCCACAGTTTAACGAAGGAAATATTTCATTGGGACCTCAGGTTCTGAGGACTCAGTCCACGACTGGCTGGCTCACAAACAAAACCATCATGGTAAAGGGATGCAACAGAGCAAAGGTGCTCGTTTCAAGGTGACTGGGAAGCAGAGCTGTGGAAAATCACAACAGAAGACAGGGCCAGGGCGACAGACCCTTAGGCCAACCCACCAGGATCTACCCAGATATACCCAGAACTGTGTTCCTCCTTCTGGTAACCGCTTCCAGGAGTTCACCAAAGCAACCAAGTTCCCATTCTACCCTCAGTGTCACAGTAGCTGAGGCAGAGGATTGAAAGTTCATGTCTAGCCTTGCAATTTAGTGACTTCCTGAGACCTTGTCTCAGAATCAAAAATTTAAAATCAGCTGCTGATATGGCCCCTTGTGAAGTCCTTGGGGTAACTGGTAAGAAAATAAAGAGCAAAGAAGCAAGATTAAAGAGAGAGGAAAAGTTTTCTCAGATACTGAAACAATCTAGACCATTGAAAAATATTTATTATAGATATGCTCAAAGATATAATAATAAAAGAAAGATCTTGAGAATCAAAGCAGAAAGGGCAAAGTGTAAAGAAGAATCAAACAGAAGTCCTAGATCTGAGAATCATGTCCTAAGAAATATGTATCATTTTAGAGAAAGGATATGGCCAAAGCTGTATGTGGTGGCACATGCATGTCATCCCAGCACTCTGGAGGTTCAGGCAGGAAGATTGCTCTGAGTTGAAGGCCAGCCCTGAGTACATAGTGAGTTCAAGGCCAGTTTAAATTACAGAGCAAAACCCTGTCTCAAAAAACAAAAGAAAGAATAAGCCAGAAGAAAAGATTAGTGAACCCATGAATAAAAATAACCAAAATGGAGATCCCACCTAACTGCCTAGAAGAGTCACATCAGATCTGGTCAGAGAAGAGTCACTGAGCTGCAGATACTCTTACATCCCAAATCAGAAAAGGCAGTCCCTGTAGATCACACCTAACATGTGAATCACTCAAAGCAGGGAGCAGAGCCATGCAGCGGATCCACACGATTTCTGCCGTCCTTCTGGAGAGCAGCCAGTGTGAGAGCACATGTCAAATCGACCCAGTGCAGGACACACAGCGTGGTGGCTGGGCTCCTGGGACAGACTCTTGGTGTACCAGCCTCTTCCCTCTATCTCTCCTCCTCCAAACGCAGGGATGCTGCATTCCTGCAGCATTCTTGCCAGCTCACGGAGGACAAGGGAAGCCAGCCCCATGCCAAGAGAGAAGATAGAAGGCCTGTGCACCCCACCCAGGGACTCTGCAGATCCCCTCTGGAGAGTGACTGGCCCACCAATCCTGAGGCACCATGCCTGTGAGTAAAATCATCTGCCAGCCCCGCAGACATCCATTCAGCACACACACTGGTTCTGGGTTTTCCAAGGACTCCCAACCTACCTCTACCCCACCAAAGCACCACCACCCCTGCTGATGCCATGGACCCCCACCGGCCATTGCACCTTAGGTGGGAAGAGGCCCTATACTTAAGTAGGAAGACGATACCCATACATGAGCTCAAAAGGACTCAGGAAAGTGGACATTGAAGGAAGTGGCCACTCTGAAGACAATTAGGCCTAAGGGAAAAGGTTCAGGCCAAGGTAGATGTAGTTCTAGGATGAGTTTTGCGAGGTGTGTCTTTAGAAGACTGTTTGCTTTTTCTGCTTTTCCTGAGGATTGTGGGTGGTTTGGTCTGTGTAGATTCCGAGTGATGTGTAGTTTCAAGGATAACTGTTGAGTAATCTGAATGAGAAAAGGTGATCTGTTGTCTGATTGGGTAGTTTGAGGTAAGCCCAATGGCAGATACTCTCTTGTATATCAATTCTAGAAAGTATTTCTGCAGTCTGTCAGACATTGGGAAGGCTTCTATTCACCCCAAGAAAGTGCAGACAAAGGTAAGAAGGTATTTGGAGGTCTTATGATGAGGCATGTGTGTAAAATCTATCTTCCAGTCTTTGTCTGGAGTGTGTCCACAAAGTTGGTGAATTGGGAAAGAAGGAGAAGGTAAATATCCCCGAGGAGGTGTCTTGGCACAGAGACGGCAATTGTGCATGGCTTGGCACATGAGGGTTTTTAAAGAGGGGTGATCAGATTTAGAAGTTTATATAGAGTCTGGGTACCTACACGAAAGCAGTTGTGTGGGCAGGTGATGATGTTTAAGGCCTGCTGGTCTGAAAGGAGAAGTTTTGGTCCTGGGAAAATCCATCCCTGAGAGTTTAGGCTATAGGTAGATTTATGGATTAATTGTAGCTGTGCAGGTGAATATTAAGGTGGTGGCAGGATATTTGGGATAAGGGAGAGAAGATGAGAAGGATGTATGGCTATGGTGCATTCAACTTGGCTTGTGTGCCAGCAAAGATATTACCCTGAGAAACAGGATCTGACGATGTTTGGTGTCCCCTACAGGGAATGACTGCTACCTGTTTTGAGAGTTGTGCTGCCTCTAGTAGTTTGAGGATAAAGGGTGCACTTGTGATAGGGATTCTTTGAGTACTGATCAGGCTTCTTTTCTGCCAGATGGCAGCTTGGGAATGAAGAATGCTGACTGTGTGTTTTGGTTTAAGAAAGCTATGGGTTGGGGCTGGGGATTTAGCTCAGCAGCATAAGCACCTGCCTTGCAAGCAGGAGTTCATGAGTTCAAGCCCTGGTACCAGAAAAAAGGAAAAAGAAATAAAGAAAAAAAAAAAAGCAATCTTGAAAGCCATGGGTTAATAGGTGTGAGATCATAGGTTTGAGTCCCTGTGGATTTTTGGGGGCTGTTGGATATTGATGAATGCACAGAAAGTTTGAAGGGTCTCTGAGATGAATTAGCACAGGAGTGGCATCAATAGCATGTAGCGGCATGGGCGGGTGGTATCCCAAACTATAGGATTGATAAAGGAGGGGGAAGACGGCTTATGGTACCAACAGCACAGATTGGTTCAGTCAAAAAAGTGAGAGCTGTGAGAAGGGAGGAAGTGAAACAGAAGCTGAACTTTTGGAGGATATCTCTGCCTAATAGGGGTTGTAGTCAGTTTGGAATTATAAGTAAATTATGGGTGAAGAAAGGTTTGGAATCAGGAGGGGATGGGTCTTGTCTGGAGGGGTTGTGCAGGTTTCCCCTCAACACCTACAGCGGACATCATGGATTGGGTACAAGAACCAAACGAACTCAGGAAGAATACTGTAACCAGCCCCTGTGTGAATAAGGAAGGAGAGTGTCTTACCTAAGATATTTAGTGAAAGTTGGGGTTCTGAGAGATACCTTGATGGACCCATCAATCCCATCAATCCTCTTCAGTGGTGAGACTGAGTAGAACAGCTAAGGAAGTGTCCAGTGGTGGTGGCGATGAGATCTCCCATGAGGGTAGGGAGTTTGATGACTTACCTGCTCTCTGGCAGACAGGGCAGTTGTAGTTCCAGTGACCCTCCTGGTTGCAGAGGAGACAAAGTCTTGGTGGTGGCCATGGTTTGGGACAGGCTCATGCCCAGCATCCTTCTTTCCTGTGCATGAAGCATGGTGTAGAGGTTGCTCTGGTGGCACCATTTTGTTTGGATTTATCTTTCCCAGAAGCCTTGAGTGCTGCACCCAAAAGTGGGCATAGAATATTAGTCTTCTCAAGATTATCTTGTTGTGGTTGTGCCTATCTATTATTGAAGACATGAAAGGTCAGATTGAGAAGATCTCTTTGTGGGCATTAGGGGGCCAAAATGTGTTTTTTTGCAGTTTGGAGGTCACGTGTAGGTTGGTAATAATTAGGGGGGTTGAGGGTGATTCCCTCAGCAGATTGGGGGTTAAAATTAGTGCATTTGGTTAGAGTAACTGTAAGATAAGAAAGAAATTCCACAGGGTTTCCCTCAATGTGTTGAGTGTGATTTTGAATTATAAAATTATATAAGCTAGTTACTTTGTGAGAAATTTGGTTTAGGCCTACAATAATGCAGATGGTCATTCATATGTTGTGAGCCATGTTCTCCTTGCTAATCCCAATTGGGGTCTGCATTTGGTACTGCATTGTCCCCAGCAGGATGGTTAAGATTAGTTTGATGTCTACACTCAGCCTCAACCTATGGGATAGCATCATTGAAAAAAGCAACCCCCAAATCCAACCACATTGTAAAGAAAACCTGCAGTAAGTTATTTTTCTTTTTTCTTTCAGGTGTTGTTTTTTGATTGTTTGTTGTTTGAGACAATGTCTTGCTGTGTAATGCAGGCTGTCCTTGAACTTGCTTATCTAGCAACGGCTGGCCTTGAACTCATGGAGATCCTCCTGCCTAGGCCTCCCAAGTCTGGGTTTACAGGTGTGCACCACCACAGCTGGCAACAATGAGTGAATATAAAAATCAATCCAAAGCTATGGGAATGTAGGCAGCTCGGAGCTCCCTGAGCTCAAGGGGACTGAGATGAAGGGGAGAACATAAAAACGACTGAGATGTGCTACATGATGGGTTCTGCCTGTGTGAAGCTCTGCCAGGCTCTGCAATGAGCCTGGCCAATATGGCCCTGGACAGCGCCTCCCTTCAAGACTGACTCCCACATTCTTCTTGCAAACCTGAAAATTGAAATCCCTGCTTCTCTTGCACAAGCCAACATCCCCAAGTCAGCTGTCTCAACCTCTCCCTGCCCACCCCTTCAACTCCACCTGTCAAACTAAAGAAAAGCCCAGGGCTTCTCTGTTTGAGCAAAGGGGACGTTGCACTCTCCTGCAGCCCTTCCGTACCTGCAATAAAGGCCTTTTCCTGTTTTCCTTTCTTTGCTCTTGTTTTGTGCTGTGAGAGGAAAAATCTATCATTTTTGGTGCCATAACTCAGACTGACAGGCAGGGTGGCTCCTGGGCACAAGTCCCCGTTGGAGCTCCCCATCGATGAGCCCCCTCTCTGCTTTTTCTCTTCCCTGTTTTTCCTCTTTCTCTCAACCCCTCGGCTGCCATTGCTAGCCTCCATCCAATACCAAACCACCTCGTTCTCACAGGGAGGCACTTCGTGCTTTGGGGTGCTTGTCTTGTAACTCATGGGTTCATGTCAGGATTTCCCCCACATTCTTCAGGACCTGCACCCCTTTATCCCTAAGTGACAACTCGCGGGTGCAGGTGTTGGGGTCTACTGAGTATTTCTCTCTCCCACAAGACTGAGAAGGGTGATGAGTCTAAGGGATTGTGGCTCAGTTTTTGGAGCCTCCATCCAGCTCTCCTCTCATTTGGTCACAATGGGAAATACTTCTTCCCACTCCCCAAAACACACATTTCCTGCCAGACAGCTGGCCACTGTATCCATAATGTCCACCACTGGCCAGAGGGGGCGACAAGCACTAGGCCACCCTCTGCAAACTGGATGACTTCTGCAATCACAGTGGCAAGCCCAAGTAGGGACCTGTTTTGCTC